TCATAGTTTTCAAGGATGCAGAAGACACAGAGAGACATTGTCATTGATACACAGTTCAACACTCAACGGGTTTCCATCTCTATTAAATCCTAAGAAGTTAAATGTTTGACTCTATCCAGCAGCTAATTTGTAGGTGCCTCTGCTGTGTGGTGCTGAACAACACGTGTTTCATTTCACATCTTGTTTGCTGAAACAAGATGTGGCTGTAAACAGAGGGATGGGAGCAGAATGTGTGGACGTAAAAGAGGGTAAAAGAGCCACATCACACCCTCCGGGTAGCTTGAATCCCATGGATCTCAATACCGGTGGCAGACAAAAAACAACAGTGCTCCATCTTCTCCACAGCAGAGTGGTCAAACAATTAAAGAGCAACTATAGGAAACAGTGTAATGTTGCAGAAAACCCCCAACGTTTCTTTGAATATAAATATGTTCCTAAACTCAGCAAAAACATTGATGGTTTTGGAATACTAAACCATTTGACTGCAGGTCATATCCACATGCATTATTAGTGAGAGCTACGTTTTCCCTTCCCGACAAAGGCAGCAAACAAAATTAGAGTTTCATCCTCGGGGCTCTAGATAAATTGCCATGAAGAAGTAACGGAAGTTTTGGAGAGCCTTGTGTGAAAGAAATGAGAAGAAAAAACATCCAAACGGAATGAGGAACATGGAGCATTCTAATTTCCATATAGTACATTACAGACGTCATTTGTCTTGTTGAGTAATGTCACAACAGAAACTCGGTATATAGACCAGAAAAAACGCCCAGAAGTGAAAATACAGCAACATCTATCCTTTTGTTTTCAAGTCAAGGTAACCTACATAGTATATTCCTATATATACTGTATATATTCCTATATATACTATATATATATATATTCAAATTCCCCATAATTTTCTCCTATATATATATATATATAGGAGAAAATATATATATAGAAGAAAATTATGGGGAATTTGGAATTGCGGAATTGCTGAATAGTTTTGAGTACCACAAATCATATCACTACACAGTGTGGCTACCTACAAAGTGTTGACATAATGGGACATGGAAACGACTTTTCCAAATTAATTGTCAACAACTCATTGGATTGATCAACTGCTTCTGGTTCATTTCTGGCATCCCATAAATAACTAATAAAAATGGCCCAATTGAAAGTGTGTAAAGAAAGCTGTGTAAACATTTGCTTGACACGGCCCATTCCCTGACATAAATGTGTAAAAAGGGTTGTAGTGAATGATTTATTTCGTAATGTGGTGGAAAATGACCTCCACCTCCTGCTAAATATTTGAAAGTAGCAGTACATTTGACTCCCTGTGGCAGGACGCAATAGAGCCACCGGTCTAATGGATGTTGGAGCCATGGTTGGTTGGTGAAAGCGGAGGGGTGGCAGGTGGATTTAGTCATTTGTTCACTTCTGTGGCCAGAAATGGGCAGAAAAGTAGTTTTGCCGTCAGCACAGTGACTCAGCCGACACCCAATTTGAAGCCCCACACATGGAGACACAGCCACAATCAAACATGTTTTGGCCCAGGAGCTCTTAGAATGGCGTCTGGGTGGGCGGAGGACGGCGTGTAAAGGTGCAACGGTCCAGCTAAAGGTCATCTCTCTGGACGTACGGGTGATTACTACCCAACGCTGCTCAATGCACCACATTGTAAACTGCTAAAGTGGGCCGGCTGCCTCGGAGCGGAGGTAATTCCATTTCTCCAGCGTTATGAAGTTCCGTGTGTTATTGCACTGAAAGCCGTTTCACAGCTTAATATCCTTCCAAAGCATAATCTCATGAGAGTTTATCCTTGACCCGATAAAGAGAGCGAAAGCTTTACTCTGTCAACAATTCAATCCTGTAATTCCTTCCCCCTTTTCAGAGGCGGATGAAGTCTTCTTTGACTGCGGTCTCCCGATGCCTGCGTCTTTCTGAAGGAATACTTCACCCACAAGATCACCAGCTGATAATAAGTCTAGTGTTACATTGAATTCTTTAAGAAATTCTTCTTGGATGCCTCAACGCTGAAAAGGCAAAAAACACTGCACAATTGAATGGAAATGGAGCTTCATTCTTGTCTGATGATGATTTATGGGCCTCGGCTTCTACTCTTGTATTAAGCTTTCTAATGTTAGCTAAATCAATCGTTCACTTCTACCAAATGAAGCCATGGTCTGCCCAGCGTAAGCATTCTACCTGTCTTTAGCTGGCATTGGAAACACACGCGTGTTGGAAGTGTTCTTCCTGCAGTCTACGCCGTCGTTATAGTGACGCCCGTTTAAACTTTGCTATTTTAGCACTCGGCTATGTGTTTGTGAGCGAGCGAGCTGGGTGCCGCGGTTTAAAACGTTATTGATCGTCAGTGGCATTTCTATTGATGTAGCGTGCTGCTGCAGTCATTAACCACCTCAAACCGCTTGTGTTGCATTGACTGCTGCATAACCATATTCTCACCACCGCCGGCCGCATAGCATGCTAAGCGCAGCAGATGGAACCCTACTCCGCTGACCTGCTCCAGCACGCGTAGGTGTCATTATATAAAGAATGCAATGCCGCGCAGCCTCGGGTGGAGGAAAACGGACGAATGAGGGCAAAGAGCAGCGGCCCGTCAGGGATGCTCTGGTAAAGCGAACGCACCAGCGGGGAGGCCGGGGCCGTTTCATTGCTCGACACTACAAGGCATTTTACGCCACGCAGAAGCAGCTTGAGTGGGAAGAGAGGAACTGACAGAAGGAAATCTGTGCAAGCAATAAGATATCCAAGTGCAAGCATACAGTAAGAAATCCAAACACAGGCAGCAGTTATTTAAGAGTGAGGGCCGGGCTCTTTTTAAGAAAGAGCTCTGAAATTGATAAATCGTACACTCAAAATGTGTAAGACGAGAATGAGGAGAAAAGGAAAAAGGCTCCAACTAGTGTTTAAAGTGAGCATAAAACAGGTCGAAGGAGACTTGGATTGTGCTGCAGGAGTTGTGCGAGTTTTTGTAAACTGATTTTTTATTTTACTTCCAGGCGGGATTCTTCATTCACAGTGGAGGCCGGCCGTTTTAGCTTAAGTTATTTCTTAAGCTAAAACCGGGTCATAGATTGATATATACAAATGATTGAAATGCATTTTTAAGTCATACAAAGATCAACATAGTGTCTTTCATTTTATCATCATCATTTTATCAATGGTTTCTCAAAACTACTTGTCCGGATAGAAATGGAGATACATGGAACACACAATGAACTTGTGTACAGGCTGATACGCAGGCCAGCCGGTAACCCCCGGCTTTTCATTTATCACTGATAAGTCCACTTTTATCCGACCTGCGGCCACTCACCACTCAGTCCTTCCCAGCTGAAGCATCCATCACGGAGATAAAAGCGTTGTGCAGCCCTGTGATTGACTTGGAAAGAACAAGGTGTCCACAGTTTCTAACGGCAGCGTCTCCCGGGGGACGGAGACGCTGCCGTTAGAAACTGTCTCACTTTGGCTCAGGACACCGTGCAGCGAAGCTGACAACCAGTCGGTATTGAAATGGACTGAAATGCATTCACAGCTTCAGGTCCCACTGTCCATATTCATTAGGCATCTGGACAATTTAGTCATTGAGCAAAAAACTTTCTGAAATCTGAAACATCAAACACTGACAACCCTGCCGCTCCTCTTTCCAAATCTCGCTCACCTTTCCACGTGTGTCTTCTGGCATAAAAGTCTCACAAAAAAATATATCAAATAAAATATATTCAAAAATCAGTCATAATTAAACTAGAAGTAAGCTAAAACTAGGGTGGCACTGTTGCTGAAATGCTAAACCAATTTGAGTGACCCCCCCGCCCTTCAATTAAGCATCATTTCAAGTTTGCTCTTCCATTTCAAAACATGTTGATAATTATCAAGACTTCCTCTCCATCTGGTATCAACACCTGGATGATTGGATTGTAATTATGACTAGCAGGTACACATCAGGTCCAGGTGCAGATACACCCATGATGCATTAAGGAGGCGATTATGCAAACTACCTCCAGAGAAGGCGCATTTTCCTGCACTCACAGCGAGCGAAAGATTCACAAGGCCGGTGTTGCCTGGATGAAGAAACGATTCTAAAACTCGTTGTTATTCTGTACACTCAATCCGGTAAGAGCGTGGGGAACAAAAAGTGATAAAAAGTGTTGTGGCTGTGCTTCCCCCCCCGTGTCTACTGGAGTGCCGCCCTCTTTGCTGCAGCGGATGAGGTACGAGATGCGGTGATCAACAGCTGAAAGACGCTCGCGGCATCTCACAGTTGCTGGTTTGTAATAAATATCTTGTTCTAAACCATCCGTTTGCCAACTCTTTCTCCCTGGGTATTTTAACATGGTTACTCCTCTCAACCCTTAGACGCGAAGAGGGGGACGTAACAATTGGCAGCCGGGACGTGAGAACTGATTGGGTAAGTGAGGGGCGCCTTATCAGGTCCTTCGACTGCAGTAAGACGGCACAGAAGGCCCAGGTGAACCTTCCTTGTTGGTCAATCCTCTGCAGTCCAAACAGGAAAAGCTCCATTCAGTGGTTAAAAAAAGCCAATGGGTAGCATCCCTACTACATTCACTTCTTATATACAGTCTACAGGTTTAATTACATATGAATAAAATATGGATGGATTATAAATTCATTCATACCCAATATTGTACACAGTCAACAGTGCATAACAGATGTTAATGTTGCCTCCAAAATTTCAAGATAGGAGGGAAAGTTTTGTACTGATGACTACGCAGAGTCAGCGTATTGTTACCTTGAAACAAGACACGAGTCCGTGGTTGAAACCTCCGGGGAATGAATTTGTCAAGCAAAGACTAGAATCGCACAGGAGACGCTGCAGGGAAGCACTGTACGATTCCTGGAAGGGAACAATGATCTTATCTGGACAGGGCGGGAAAGCTAATCGGCTTTTTGTTGGACGGACATGTGACAGACGATAGCGTGGCGGGAGACAAATAACAAATAACAATGAGAATGTATTTTAGATATTTGGGAGCACATACCTGACACTTCTTGAACTTCCACTTTCAGCTCTGTGAATGAAAAAAAAAAAGACATTCGTGAACTGAGGCGGCAAACTAAAAGAGAACTACTGACCTACTTAAAAAGAAGTCCTGCTACATCCGAAATGTGAAATTCACAAAGCTGCACTTCTGAGCAGGTCAAAGTGAAACATGAAACTGCACCGACAGCACGAAATTACATTTGGCTACATAACTGTCCCATGCAGCAATGGAGGCAGTTAAAAGCTAAGCTTCCAATTAAACAAGTGAAACTGCCTTCTTTGCTTTTCCTGCCCAGCGGGTCTCGGACAGTTGAATCCCAGCGGCTGGCTGAACGGAGAAGCCCGACACCATCAGAAGCAGACCAGTCAACACACCTGCTCCTACGTTGACGGATTCATTCCAGAAGTCTGCTGGTTTACAAGCCGGAGGAATTAAACACCTTCTTCTAGCACTGTCAAGATATGTTCATGATACCTTTTTTTGGTGGGGGTGGGGAGCTTTACGCGCCGCAATTATTACAGAGATGGCTTTTTTTTTTTTTTGTCTCGGTGCATCTCTTTTGGTAACCGTCATTTCTCAACGCGTGGAGCCCGGCTTAAAGCCCACATTACCTGCAAGCTGAATGAAGCAAAAGATGCGGGATGTGCGGCCAAGTGCAAGGACAGATGCCGGCATGGCCGCGGTTCCCAAGAGTTTTTGTGTCCAATGCCCAGCGGCCTCCTAGCCGGACAAACCCTCGCAATTAGCTGTGAATAAAAACTGGAAAAATCCATTCCAGAAAAAAGCAGGACTCTGGACAAAAAGAGCAGGACTTTTAACAGTCAAAACACTCTTGGCCGATCCAACAGCACGATGTCCAACTAGCCCTCACAGGTGTGACAGGCTACCTCATTATGACCAGGTCCTTCAAAACCCTGCACATCCAGCTGCCATGACTCTTTCTCCACTTCAGCGGAAGCTCTTTCTCTTTCTTTTTTTTGGGCTCCCGGCGCTAAATGTTCCATAAATGAGAGCAATCCATCAGCTGCGTTCAATTCCGCAGAGGTGGGTGAATCAAAACGCGCTTTGACAGCTTCATCCATGGCGTGTTTGTCCGGACAAAAGCTGGCGAGGCATGACAAATCCCTCACTAAATGGCATAGCGGTACCCCGTCTACACAGAGCGGCTCGGATGAGACACTTCTGAACTTCAGACGCGCTACTTTGTCACTGCGTTTTTTTGGATGACACAGCGAGCGAGTGCCGGGAGGAATGGGTGAGGTAGGTTTTCAAATGGGAGTAAGGTAAGTAAGACTTGATTGAATAACAAGGCGACGTGCCGCAAGGAAATCATAAGCTGCCAAAAGTGGGACCAGCATGAAGATGAACCTGTCCTTTTGTCAAAAGCAAAACCAACGGATCGTAAACAAGAAGACCGCAGAGGGGAGGGGGCCCCGACAGGCTTTTTAAATCATATTGCTAGGCAACAGCTGTGGTCCACGTTTACTTCATCTCACCCGATGGCAACAAGAAATAAAGGAGGCAAACATATGGAATTTGTAATATTTGCAATATTACACCCTTTCAAAGAAGAATGGACTTTCAGTTATTTAGAATTTACAGACATTGGAATTGGAATGTGACAAATCTTCAAACACTAGATAAATATAACCGCTTAAATCTGGCATTGTGTTGGCTAAAGTTTGGGTGCCATCCTTAAAAGACACCGATGTCAACAAGCAATATCGCCATCAGCAAAAAGGAGACCAACTGGTTTATAGGCATGAAACAGGAACTAAGAGTCTGATACCTCAGCTTTTGGTAATGACAATCCCTCCACTTGACTTCCTGCAGTAACTATAGTCACAGCATGCTAACTGGTATGGATGCTCACCATGGCCATTGGTCTTAATTCGACCATCCATCTCTCGACCATCTGCATGGCGGGCTAATTGTTATAACTGCTTGTGTTTCTTGTCCAGTCAAATGTCTTTTAAATATGACAAATGTATTCCCAGATCCTAGTTATTAACTTAGTAAGAAAAGTACCAAACAAATACCAATCTGGTCAAATACTGGTCAAAACTACAATTATATGACCCCAGTTATGATAAACCACAAGTCTTAGGGCAACCTTTTGTGATTATCAAATCCCTGGTGCGATGAACTAATAGATGGTATAGTAATATTAACAGTACTATATGAATAATGGAGAAACATTCTCCCACAATGAAAAAAACACAATTGCTCTGTGTTGAGTGTCTGCCTCCCACTTCACCTCACATACCCTTTTGGTGGTAATCAACCAAACAAAACACAAAAAATGCTTATGAGAAACGAGTAATCGTAGAAAAGATGCAGCTACAGTGTAGCAGGGAAAATGTGCCTCCCTGACAATCAACTGGGCTCCTGCAGCTGTCAGTCCAATCATAGCAGGGATTATTATAATTAACATTTTTCTAGACCCCCAGAGTTTTTCAATCAAGTGTAAAGTTTTAATAATCACAGATGAATGGGGCTGCAGGGGAATTATACGTCGCTCTTGTAACACTTCTCCGCGGCGCCTTAACCTTCCATCTGGAAATACACTTCCTCCACATGAGAAATGACCTACAGTCGGCGGCAGTAACAAATGGAATTCAGACTAAAAACAGTCACACACACACGTGGAGATTCCCCAGTAGCTGCGTAGGGAACGCAGAAGATCTCGGATAGCAAAGTCGGCACACGGAAAGCAAGGCTCGCTGTAATGAACTAGCACGGGGCCGCAGCCAAGCCAATTAAATGATACCAGCCTGACAGTAAGTGGTTTCATTACATGACCTCGAGAAATCCAAAGCAGCCAAATTGAATCATCTCACAATGCAGCGGTTATAGGAAGCCTTCATGCCTTGACACTTAAAAAAAAAAAAAAAAGTGCCAATTCAAATCCTAGTGTGCACAAAGATGGGAGGAAAACACTGAAGGGCATGCTGGGTACGGCCCGCCCACCATCCCAACGAGAAGAAACTCATTACTACACACTACTGTTAAAAGGGCAAAAGACCGATGCAGGAGAAAACAACCAGAGACCAGAGTAATCGATTACTATTAATCACCTGCGATAAGTCACTGTCTACTGGACCCTTCACCTTTCACAGAACCCAACTGACTAAATGATTGTTTACAGCAAACAAAATGTCAAAAATATCAACTGACGAAAGGATGAAGTGCTGAATTAAGTGCTCCCATATTAATTATAGGAAGAATCCCTCACTTTTATGTTTTAGCCACGGTTATTTAGGGTGAATGTGCTTTCGGTAGCTTAAATATTTATGAAGCCCTGCATTTGTGAGCGCTAATTAATCTGTGAAGCACATTTTGAAAGATAAAACTCATTTGCGGAAATATGTGTCAGGTTCCTTTTGATACTGACTGATATTCAGTCAATCAGATAATGTATCTGTAATTTAAAGGGTTCAAACTGTGATCCCCATCGCTGATTTTCAGCTGCAAGCCAGGGAAACAGTGCGTCATTGTACAACCGTGCAATCAACCATTAGTTGGTTGTGTTGTTACACGGCGACAAGTCCATGATCCTTCACTTGCTTCCCACTCACAGACAGCTGTTGTAAATGGAGCACTTCACCAAGCTGGAGGAGGCTGCAAGTAGAGATTCAGTGGTGCTGAAAGTACCGCCATAGTGCTGATACCCTATGGGGAATAGAATAAAGATACTTACAAGGTTTGTGCTTAATGCTTTTCATCAAATGGCAAAAAATGCCAATGAGCGTCATGTACCACAAAAGCTTTTTTTTTTTCCGCCGAGACCTGGTCTTGAAAAATGCATGCATGCTCATTTAAGCTCCCAACCTGTACAGGACATGCACCAGGAAAGTGGTCCAGGAAAGTAACATTCATGGCATTTCTACATTGAGAATGCAGAACATGAAAGTAAACAAACATCTGTTCTGCTTTTATCATTTTTCAGGCATAAAAAACTACAAACTTGTTTGCTATTCCCTGCACAGAGGAGATGAAATGGTGATACGTTAGTGTACACCTGCACTGTCACGGTGTGGGTTCTTTTCCTGGTGTCCTGCCTCCTGTATCCCTGCCCTGGGTCAACTGTATTGTGTGTGTTTTTTTCCCCTCTGGATGTGATTGTCTGCCGTGTCCCTGATTGTTTCCTCCTGGCTGGATTAAAAATAAATAAATGACCTCCTAACGTCTATTCCTAACCACTATTCCTTGACCTCTGTGGAAAACACCACCATAAAGTGTTCTTTTATAGCGAGTGTCCGTGTCTCCCGGTCATGGACATCCTGTCACAAGCCCACGCAATACCCAATGTGTATACACATCATTTTCACAAGACATAAATACAAATCCTATGCCTCCTATAGTCATGGGAAGTATCCGCAGCCTATCACTCAACAACCTCTTTTCCAAAGAGAGGAGACGTGGCAGATTCTTAACCACGGAAGGAAATCATTTCCAAAATGACACATGAAATCAACCTGAAAGTGAATCACTCGGGAGAGACAACGACTGCTGGTGGAGGAAGACCGATGTGGAGCAGAAGTAAATAACGCGTTTAATGGCGGGCAATGTACAATATTAGTCCCACAGTGGGCTCGATTTGCCATCCGCATGATGGAATGAAAACGAACCCGCAGTCTTATTGAAAGATACCATCATTCCCCCTGTGAACAGACTAGCAAACAGCCATAGGGGCAACCTGCCAGTCGGAAGTGCAGGTGTATGTGTGCGTGTGTCAGAGCAGGTGAGGAATGAAAGCATGAGGAGAAAGCTACGCGGGGAGTCGACTCCAGCTGAGCTCTGTGGCTTCACCACTTATAGCGAGTAACGGACGTTGGTGTGGAGTTTTCCAAATGCAACTCGTTCAAGTCAAACTGGAAGGAAAGATGGCCAAAGGAGGTGCAGACATTTGGACCATGTTTATGCAATTGCTAGAGTGTAAAGTTGGGTTACTGTTGGGGATGATGGGTATTGAGTGTAGATATATGGAACCATTCTGCAGGTTTGAGAGTGCAGGGTGACAAAGT